GCCAACTACTTCCACATTTATTCACACTATGAAATATGCCAACTACTCCCACATTTATTCACACTATGAAATATGCCAACTACTCCCACATATATTCACACTATGAAATATGCCAACTACTCCCACATATATTCACACTATGAAATATACCAAATTCTGCCACATATATTCACACTATGAAATATGCCAAATACTCCCACATATATTCACACTATGAAATATGCCAACTATTCCCACATATATTCACACTATGAAATATGCCAAATACTCCCACATATATTTACACTATAAAATATGCCAAACACTCCACATATATTTACACTCTGAAATATACCAAATACTCCCACATATATTCACACTATGAAATATGCCAACTACTCCCACACATATTCATACTATGAAATATGCCAACTACTCCCACATATATTCACACTATGAAATATGCCAACTACTCCCACATATATTCACACCATGAAATATGCCAACTACTCCCACATATATTCACACTATGAAATATGCCAACTACTCCCACATATATTCACACTATGAAATATGCCAAACACTCCACATATATTTACACTCTGAAATATGCCAAATACTCCCACATATATTCACACTGTGAAATATGCCAACTACTCCCACATATATTCACACTATGAAATGTACCAAATTCTGTCACATATATTCACACTGTGAAATATGCCAACTATTCCCACATATATTCACACTATGAAATATGTCAACTACTCCCACATATATTCACACTATGAAATATGCCAACTACTCCCACACATATTCACACTATGTAAATATGCCAACTATTCCCACATATATTCACACTATGAAATATGTCAACTACTCCCACACATATTCACACTATGAAATATGCCAACTATTCCCACATATATTCACACTATGAAATATGCCAACTACTCCCACATTTATGAACATGATAAAATACCTAAACTGATAAAACAACTAAAAATCTAAACATATTATATTCAGACGGGATTGGAGTTATCATCTATTGTCTCAAAGATTACTTGTTGTTTTATCCTGTAGCAATATCAACAAAAATGTTATGATTGTCCGGTTGTAGAGCCACACCCAGTACTGGGTGACACATTGGTAATACTCAGCGATGGTCCAAACGTGGATATGCAAAGACATGATAAAGAAGTAATAGTGAGCGCATTATGTGGTAACGCTGTTTTACGAGGCGCTGATGTCTTCATACCTGGCATTATGGCAGCACATCCTTGTAAGTGAATGTATATCTGCATAGAAGTGAACAGTCCCAATCCCTTTCATCACAACTGCTCAGTTTTGTAACCTTCCATAAAATAGTCCAGTTTACCTTCATTCTAATGCACATTTTGCCAATTTTTTTTGAAATTTGTCACTTGGGGTTAAAAATCCAGAATTAAAAAAAAAAATGCCCTAAGAAATATTGTTGAATCACCTGATATCATTTAAGGAGTTAGTTGATATGAGTTGTGTTCAGTATTACTGGTAATCAAATTCAGTTTATGGATATACAGCGCACAGTCCGCATGATGTTTGTCACTTGAATCAATCAGCTCAACAAACAAGTTATATTGGTTGATAACATCAAAGTATCACATGATTTTATAAATTAGCATATTAGGCCCAGAAAACAATCTGAATTTATTTTCTAAAAATTGTGAGTGTACCTTTTTTTTCATTTTAATACATTTTTAACTGACGAACATTTCTGTGGGTCCCTTTCATGCAATGAAATTAAATAACACCATGGAGGCTTGACTTGAGGGTTATATTGTCTTTAATGCGCACCATCTATCACATAACTATGCGTTACATGTGATATGACACGATACGATTAACTGAAAGATACACAAAAAATCAATAAATACAGTACTCAAATATTCTCAAAA